CCTAGACCCTTCATCAGAAAAGGGGGAGGGGAAAGGCCCGAAACGTCAGCCTCTCTGCTCCTATGATGCTGCTTGGCCTGCTGTGTTCATCCAGCCCTGCACCTTGTTGTCTCTAAAATGGACTTGCATTTGTCTTTAATTTTTTTTTCCCCTTATCTATTGAAACTTCTGCAATTTATTAATGCTATTTTTAAATTCAGTCTTTATTAATTGACTGTCCTCCTTCTGAATTCTTAAATTTTCGTGTCAATTCTCAGGCTTACCTTTTTTGGCAACTTTGTAATCCTCCTCCTTTTGTAATGTTTTCTTTTTTAGCCGTGACACTCTGTTGATTATTTTTGTGTTATAAACTTATGCTGAGGAGGATTTTTCAATTGAAAAATCAGCTGTTGAGACCCATTGCAAATTATCCCCACACATCATTTGGTTAGTGGCCTTCAAATGGAATCAATTTACAGCCATTTATTTATATAACGCCTTCAATGAAACACAACAACCCAAGAAGCTTCATTGGTGTGTTATAAAGCAAGCACTTGACAATAATCCATGCAAGGAGATAATAGGGCAAATGACCAACAAATTGACCAAAACCAGCTTAAGCAAAATATCTGAAGTTTAGGGAATATCTCGGAGCTTAGAGCCTTGACAGCTGAAGGCATGAATACCAATAGTGGGGCAACATTTTGTATACAGGTAGTTCGTCTGTAACATGATGGTTACGTTCTTATGTGGCCTCGCGCTATAGAAAATCATCATAGAAATTCGCATTTTTTGGGAAATTGCTATACTGTATGGTAGAAAGTTCATGTTATCCAAACAGTGTCCACTATTCATCAATCGCATTTTAGCCACTTTGGATTAATAAAACACATGTTATAGCAGGACTATCTGTACGTGGAAACATAAAAGACAGGAGCTGGAGTAGGTTAGTCAGTATGATCATGGCTAATCCTCAATTTCAATGCCATACTCCCACTTTCTCCCATTATCCCTTGATGCTATCAAAAGGGGGAAAAATGTCAAAATGCATTAGATCATTGGTTGATATTCTATACGGTCAGATGCTTTATTTGAATTCATTTATATTGACTTTGTGTCTTCTAACAGGATGTCATTGCTGGTGTGCTTTACAGCATCTTGATCCTGATCATCTTCCACCCAGCTTTGGACATAATTGACAACTTCAACTTAACCTACAAGTATGCTCCTTTGTTCATCATCAGCCTTCACTTAGGAATGGGACTCTTTTCATTTACCCTTGACACGTGGAGCACATCCCGTGGTGACACTGCCGAGATTCTAGGCACTGGCGCAGGTATCGCTTGTGCGTCTCATTTCAATCACATGTTTGGCATATTACCAGACCCTCCTCTTGATGCTCTGCCGTTTTCTCCCCCAGTAATCTCAGTTAATCTTATTACAAGAGCATTTTTGCGTTTTGCGGTTGGGGTAATTGTTCTGTTACTAACCAGAGCAGTGCTAAAAGCATGCACTATCCCTCTGGCCTGCAAGATATTCCGTATTCCATGCACTGACATCCGCCAGGCACGGAAGAGAATGGAAGTGGAACTTCCCTATCGTTACATGACATATGGAATGGTAGGATTTGTGGCTCTCTTTCTGGTTCCCTCCTTATTTAATTACCTGAATCTCTCTTGATGGGAGGAAAGTGTCCTTTTTGACAGAACCATTAATTACAAGCTGGAATGCTAAGTTTTAGATGGGCATGTACCAGATTGATTGATTACCTGTTCAGCCTCTACCCTTGAGCAGACATCTGTTTGGCCACGTACACCTGCAGTTGCCTGAAAGTGAAAGCTGAGATATGACCACTGTTTGAAGAAGTTGGTTGTTTTCCTACATCCAGATGGAAGATTTGAGAGACTAGTCTTCTGAAGACCATACAAGGAGAAGGAACTCTTTTAATGTTTATGAAAATGCTTATTAATTAAGATCCTGCAAAAGCTGATTAAATCTGCAGAATGAGTACAAGTATAATATAAGTGACTGAAGTTTCAGGTATCTAACAGTTTATTCGATTGTGCCTTTTAGTTTTATTGAATAAGAATTGCTGTAATTTCACCAGTGGTTATTATAAATTTTAACTGCCTCAGATGATGAGTTGTGCAACATTTTTCGACATTCCATTCTGTTTTAGTCTGTTAATTATTTAAGTTTGGGTCACGCCCCTAATTTGCAACTGAAAGATACCTTCTAAGTGCTGCAGTTAATTTTTTTTTTCATCAGAGCACTGATTTTTTTTTTTGGCCAAAACTTTTTTTTTCCTAACTTTAGTTAATCACATTGTTTTAAATGAAAATGTGGTGTTGGGACACAAAAAACCCATTAACTTTTTAAGATTTTGGAATCCTTGACACTATGTTTATTGTTTAAATTTTCAACCTGAGATGGTCTAGTTAAATCTGATTACTTATGCCCCACTTTTTAGACACCACATAAGATTTGGGACACTGAATCAAATGAAGTACTGAAATCTAAAAGTTGTAGTTCCCCAGTTGAAAGTTGGATCTAGTTCACCTCAACTGCCCTCTGAAAACACAATCCCATGTAACATGATTTATAAATTTCTCGCAACAATGAAAGGATTCTCCAATATGCTAAGCCTTTTCTGAGTTCTGAACTCAGTTGAAAGGGATGGTACTACAATGGTTTATCTGTTAAATGCTTCAAAGATGTTGGGGAATTGCACCTTTTGCAGTGAATCAATAATAAAGCAATAACTCTAAATGTAGCTTCTGCAGATGGAAGTGTGGGAGACATTTCAGTAATAAGGGAGCAGCAGAAATTCATCCAGATTTGGGGCTAGGTATTGCTGCATGTTTTCCTACATTGATAACCACTTTGTACACAACGTCAAAGATGCTAGTGATTTCCTGCACTGAAATAAACCACAATATGCCTTTTGTTTTTGTGCATGGCTTTTTCAGCTTTGCCCTATATGTAATGCTGGTAATTATGAATCTGCTGCAATGTATGAGGAAATTATTAGCTTAAAGTGCTGTTCTGATTTCTTCAGTTATTGACTTACATGTGCGCTGACTTGTGTTATCATGAAAGCTGCCTTTATTTGAAACCTGTTCAATAAGTGGACTATCTTGTCTTTCTCACGGTTGGGGGAAGGTGGTTGTTATTTTAATCTTATTTTTCTGCAGTTCAAACCTTTCCCAATAGGATAACATGCTCCCTCAAGAAACTTACTGTTTTTGATGCATCCATTTCTTGGTTCCAGCGTTTGTGCACAATTTGTCACCTGAGGTAACAGTGCTGCTTTTTGGTTATTGTTAGTTTGTAAATGTGGATTGGGTGACTTTGTAACCATTGATCATTCTTGCAGGAACTCAAACTGTACATGAGTACACAGCATTAATCACGACCATATTCTTGTTAACATGAGAAAGTTGATATTTGTCTATAGAATAAACATTTTTGTTTCCTTTTCTGTGCCCATTGCCTTATTCCTTGTAGCAGAAAGCCCAATAGGAAGAATGTTTGAACTGAGCAAGCATGATATTTTGCATGTTCAGATGTGTGGAGGAATTGCTGGTTGTATTTATATTAATGTCACTCTGAAGACAGACTACTATAACTCTGTTTTTGAACTGACCATAAAATTTCATTTTTTTTCTTGCCTTAAAAATCAGGCACTCCAGTCTCACCTCTATAAAATCTTTTGTGTCATCTCTACCTTTTTATTGTGGTATGTATTGAGAGAATTGTTATTTAGTTGAACATGTACTGCAAAAACCCTGTTTTTGTTTTTTAAAAGTGTGGCCAGAGTTTTGTTGGCGAGAAAAATTTTCCTTTTTAGTTTGTGTCGAAAGCTTTTTTTCGTTCTTTAAAAAATCTTAAGACTGAACAGTTATCAAATTGTCTCATATCATACGTCTTCATCTTTTTTCTGAAATGATAGCAAACTCTATTTTCTTCAATTCCATGTGTAATGTGCTGTAGGCAAGTTAACATCTTGCAAGAAAGGAAGTGTCCTGTTCGTCATGTGAATGACCAGAAAAGGTTCTTCTGAAAAAATCCATCCGTGTCTCTGGATATTCTTCCCATTGGGCTTTCAGCTTACTGGATTGAAAGTATTGATGTACAGATTGAAGATTTGACTTGTGTTAAACTTCTGGAGTATTAATTGTTTAAAAAGGAAGTGTGTCACTCCTGCACTTGATGAAATAGTATTTTTTTCATTTGTGTAATTTGTCTTGGGACAGTACATCTTATTCAAACTATGTAATTGTTACAATCATAGGCATGAAAAAGATTCTACTGAACCTGATTGACTCACTGGTTTACGTTTTTTAAAAATCCAATTCGAAATTAATTTTGAGATGAAGTTTTATTTGACCTTACTAGAATAAGTGCTTATTTCTATACTGTATTTCAGCAGTATTCTGTGATATTACACTTTTTGTCCTGCATTCTATTTCGCTACGCTTTTGCATAGGTATGTAGACTCATTGTCATTGATAGCACTGGATTCCTGAGGTAAAATACTGAAGAGTATAACATGGAAAAGAGGGTAAATAATTAATACATTTTGTTCTCTATAGGGCCATACTGTGAACACCAAACTATCCCATTGAATTTTAGTGCTTGGCTAAAACCATCAAGAAATCTTTATACAAGATGACGTTAGCAGATTACTGCACTGTGTGGTGAGACTCTACTAACCAACAGTGCTGCAATACTTTGTTGAATTGTGTAGAACATTTGGTGAATTGGGATGTAATATGGTTGTAGTTTGAAACTTTACTTTGAATCAGCTATTGTTTTATTATTTGGCATTTTCTTATTCCTCCTGTATCCCCACCCCATGCATCCACCCCTATCTTTTACACTCGTGCATGCTCCCACACAGACCTTGGAAATACTTAAAAAATACATCTATGGTTTTTTACTGATCCATCTTTTGTGGAGAGTTGTGACAATTACAGCAGATTTATTAAGAAGCTTCTGACCTACTGCAATGGCATCTATCCCTTGTAAATTAATATCAGTATCTTCCTGCATAATTTATTAATTTAGACAAAATGAAGGAAGACAATGAATTATCTCTCTAGTGCAAAGGCAGCTGAATGTCCTGGATTTTGACAAATGTTTTCCCTTCCTTGGCAGTGACATCTCTGTGGATAGACAGTGTGCCATAGAAATTCAAAAACCCTCTGATCCTACCCCAACCCAAGTTAATCATTTGAGTTGGGGTGCCTTCATGGGCATTGACATTGATCTTAATGTCAGTGAGGTTAAAGAAGGAAAAATTGGCTTGTATTCATTCTGTTGAGCACCATTGAGATGCATGTGTGGAACTTGGCAAGGATCAGTCCTGACTGTAATGGAGGCCATTACTGTTCTGTATGATTGACCAGGGACTAATCTAATGCACTGTGTTCCCCCAAACATTATCCCCCTCCACTCCTCAAACTATCCTGATGCTCGTGAAGAAAGCCTAAACAGCCAGTTGTGCATTGTTGGTTGTCATTGTAAAAGTGCTTGCTCTATTTTTTTTGATCAATGCAGAAAAAGTTAATTACTTTTAAGCAAGGATCTTCCAAATGGACATATGTTGATTTTATGAGTTGAATGTTCTTGTCAGCTCATAGCAGCATAAAATTGTCTTATGAATGTGATGTAACACCCACAAGTTGTTCAAAAAACCGTAGATTCTTTTTAAGAAGAATGGTGTTCTTGAATACGAGGATGCTTTTTTTGTTCAGCCCTTAATGTTAATGTCGGCTGAGTCATGGAAAACATGTTTAAATGTGGACATTTCATTTTCATGTAAGATTAAATTGTTATGTCAAACTACATTTGAGACTATATAAACAATATAATGATTCATTCTGAACATGGAACTTTAGATTATTGTAGTCTAGTAATCCCACTGGTGGATCTCCCTTTATTGTATTCCACACATCTCTAAATGAGGCTTGTCAGTTTTGGGACAGACAAGTGTTTTTTAAAAATTATGACCAAAGTAGGTCTCTGGAATACTTTACTTTTTTTTTTAAAAGGGCATTTTGGGATGATGGAACTTGAATGCAAAAGTGAGTTTTGCCATTTAAACGAGTATATACACTTTTCAGTGCTGAAAGATCTATTTAGACAAAAAAGGCTTTCTTTTACAAAATGTACCATTGAAAAGGGAAAGTGGAGTTGAAGAACTGGCTGAAACCAGTGTTTTTTAACCCTTTATGGGATAAACAAAACACAATTGAATCTTGTAATTTTCTGAAGTTACCATCCTTCAAGGATTAAAAGCATATTGAGTGAAATGGCTTTATTTATTAAAGCACTAAATGCAGTTCCTTAGGTTTCAAATGGATTAGTTATTTTCTAGTTTAAAAAAATCTATTGATCATTAACAGTCATCCAATAACTTGGCCTCCATAACTTCCACGTGCACATACAGGAGAATTGCTATTTTGTTGAAACTATATGAGTGTCATGCTACCCCTCATTGGCTCCTTGCAAGTGGTGTACATATGGGAGTGGAAAGTGAAAGTTTTACATGGGAGTGGCTCAGTAGAAACTTTAGTACAGGGTTGGCACCACACTGGCAATCAGTGAATTCCTGGAAAATATATTAAAGAAAATATCCTGTCTCTCTCAACTGTATATCTTATGGAGCCCCTGCTATTTCAGCTGCCTAAAATCTGGAGAGAGAGATTACATAGTTTGTGGAGTGCTAGCAAGTACTTGCCTAGAATTGCAGTGGTTGTAGGATTGTCCTCTTTAAATTCCATCTGAACAATTCACAAAAGTTGCGAAAATAAATGTATTCATTATGGCATATTTCAACTTTATTGTATCACTGTTGACTGTAATGGATTTGTGAATTCATGTGAGACCACTCAAAACTCAACAGAAAATGCATGTAAAATCCTTTGGTCACTGCCAGATCATTCATGCATGGGATTCTTCAAACTACACAGATTTGTAAAGTGATTGAAATTAACTTTTTTATATTTCCTTCCTAGTTACTGTTTGATCTTTTTTAACCTTTTTTTTTCAACAAGCCAGCTAAAGGTATTTGTGATGGCCTTGCCTTTGCCTTCCCTGATGCAACTTCTTGCTAATGCTTTTAGATGTTAACCTTTACAATAACTAAATTGTAATCTGTAATGAAGATAGGGAGACTCCTTTCTCTCCATCTATTTCATTTAAAAAAACACTTAAAGCTATTGGAAGCACTGGCATTGCAATTTGAGATTATCCATTTTAGCCCAGCTAGCTAGGATGTTGTATCTGAGTGCAACCAATATTAGAAAAAAATGGAGAATTTGGATGATCTGATTGTGTGGAAATTTGGTGTGTTTTCTGCAGTCTTCAGTGTATTTTTTATTAAACTCAGTTGTTTGAGGAATATTTCAGGTCAGAGGGCATGCAGGGAAGGAAATTGCTCAAAGTCTATAGTCTTAAAAACATGGTACGATTCTTGGTTGACATATATCTGCAGCAGATTTGGAAAAATTAAGCTACGGGTATATGGAGAGACTAAAGAGTAAATGTATGGATAATTAAATATGTTTAATTGTTCTTTCTTGAATGTTGAACAGTTATAAAGATGTGTTGTATTATTTTACTTGTGTTAATGAAACCTAGAACAAAATGTTTTTACAATGTTATGTTGGTAACACCATAAGAGTATTATGTCTTGTCATGAGCATGAGTTTGTTGTTTTTCTTAAACTCTTAAAATCTTTTAAATGTTAGTTTTCAGATCACAATCTCCCCTTGAACCCTGTGGCTTTTAACTATTGTAACAGTTTGTGTTAATCATTGATTTTCATCCCCATCCTCCAACAGTTGTTAATTCTGCTGGTCAGCGATATCCTGTATGTGATACAGCTCACAATTCATTTACGTAATTGCAGTTTGCACTAAGCTTAAAATAAAAAGTACAATGAAACTTGGCTGACTGTGTGTATATGTTTGTTTATTTTACAGGAAAATAAAGTGCTTCCCGATAATAGAACTTGTCAGTCGGTAACCTTTTTAATCTTTCATTGACTCTCAGCAGAATTGTCCAATATTTCAGACGGCAACTAACCATCAACTATGACTGACTTATTTTCAAGCCAGCATGGCGAGTAAATGAAACTTCTTAATTATTTGCAGCTCCAGTGTGATATCAATAAAATTGATAATTCCTTATCAGGTTTAAGTATTGATCAGTTCAATATTCTCAGTATTGTTGAATATTGTTTTACATAGGCAGGATATGTTAAGGCTACTGGATCTCATCCAAATTTATCTCGTGGAATTTTACCTGTCAGCATATTTACACAGTATCCTGAACTCTCATTACATTTTTTAAACTTCTAGAGAAAAGTAAATTGAAAGTAGACATCCAGTTCTTTCTCTCAAACACATCCAAGTAGTGAGTCGAGTACTCTAAATACTACTAAGCTTGATGGAATAACAATGATTTAATTTGAAGCTATGTAATGATAGGTAATTAAACAGATCATCAGGTAGATCCCAGTGTCGTAGCAATAATGGGTTATCTGGTCCACAGCTAGTTCTGTAGCATTTCTTTGATTCTGTAGTTAGGTGATGTTCACTATCATGACTTTTATTATATCTAGGGTCTTTAGCTGCTCATTGATGCTCCATGGTGTGATCCTTGATGTTCCTAGCAAAAATCACAGTACTTATCTGTGTTAAATTCCATTTGCCTTGTGGTGAGGGCACAGAAGGAACACATTTAGCTCTTCAGTGTTTTTGTCTGTTCTGGGTCATTACTGTATTTGCTGCATCAAAAGGTTCTTCCTTGTACTAACTCCATATCCTTGTGCCATCAGTTAACGGGAACAATTTTTACTTAAACCAGTCCCTTCTAATCCTGTCATGATCTGTACTGCAATTTCCAACTGTGAGGTGCTGTCACATGGTGTAGTTTATGGCAAATCCTCCAACACACTAATGTCAATTTCTTTTTCAGTGACAGCCTCAATGTTCTTAAATTTTTTTTTTGGTCCTCTTTGAGATTGAGTGCCACCCTAAGTTGTGAAGAGGACTTTCCTCAAAAGCCAGTTACCTGGCAGGTGATTGCAGGATCTAGACCAACAGCAGATTCTTACATGATCATTATTGGAATGTTGGAGGAACTTATCAGCATGTTTCTCATGAATTTGACTATTTGCAGATACACTGCTGTAGAAATTCTCCAATGACCAGAGATAGCTTTGGTAATGGGCCAAGTCTCTCTGTCAACTAGAGTAGTGGTGACAACTTTGTAGACTACAGCTGATCTCCTATGGAGATTAGTTGTCAAAGATCCAATTAAACAGTTTTTGGAAGGCTGTGCTGACATAGCTGATTCTCTGCTAGATCTTTTGAATGATATTGAAAAACATCAAACTTTTCTAAAAAAAAAGTTAACTGTTGAAATAGATAAGTGTTCACTAATTTCTAAAGTATTCTTTATCAATAACCATCCTGGATGGTGTAGTTACTTGTCTGGGGAACATCTTCATTTTGCTGATGAGTGAGATACCAATAGTTTTGCATTCAGGTTTGAAATGGAGGATGGTCTGTATGTTACTTGGTGTGGGTCATAGCTGCAAAGCTGTTGATATATTGTAACCCATTAATATACTGGGTCACCTTAGCCTTGGCTCACAGCCTGTTGAAGTTGAAAAGGTTCCCATTGTGTTTTGGTTCAATCATAATTCCTTGTACGAGTTGGACATGATTGCATTCATTGACCAGGGTGAGATTGATGGAGGAAAAACTGTGATGCCCTTCTGGATGTGAGAAGGCTTGGTCTCCAATCCACTACAAAGGATAATTGCTGCTGCTATAGTGTTATGTAGGAACTGACGGATAGTAATAAATTTTTCTCAACACCCAAGCCTCTGATTTTTATTTCTAAAGGGCTTTACTGTTGATAGAGCAATAACAGCCAAGACAGCTGTATGCATGACCTCCAGAAACTTACCCTGTATTTGTTTAATAGCTGTGACATCTTGGACACCACCTGGTTTGGTGTCTGGAAATATGTCTTCACTGTGAGTTGTAGCTGGTTCAGGTGCGTTCATTTGAGAGTAAGTTAAAGTCACACTTTTTAATTCTACGACCATATAAAATAGGAGCAAAAGTAGACATTTGGTGTCCCTAGTCCATCCCGATAACCCTTCATTGCCCTACCTAACCCGACCCCTACAGTTTTCTGAGGCAGTGTTCAAAGTCACTCAACCCTTTTGAGAGGGGAGAAAAAAATTCTCAGCTTTGACCTAAAAGTTGTGACGCCTAATTTTAAGAAAGTATTCTCGGTTCTGGGGTCACCCACAAAAGGAAACTATCCTTTTCATGGCTGTGTTGTCAAGACCGTTCATGATTGTATGCAGTTCAATCAAGTCACCCTCCATCTTCTAAACTTCACTGGAAACAAGCCCAGTGTGTCCTCATAAGCCAGTAAATCTCTCTGAACTGCGTGATGTATTTACATCCTTAACAAGTCTGAAATTTCACACCTTTTGAAGTAGAATCCTGATTCTCCTGACTGAAAGCAAGCTAATGTTCTTCAATGTTTACTCTGCCCATTTACAAAATTCTCCTCATGCAACAAGTCCCTATTATTGCCCAGGGACGTGCCCCTCAAAAAAAAGCCAGAAATAATGGCAGGTTAATCATTAAACCTCTTCATGCACACATACCTACAGCTGTGAGTTCAAAATCCAAACTCTCAATAAATGATTTTATATACATATGTACATCGCATCCTGTAGACCATTCCGCTCTACTTCCTGTGCTATTCCTTCTCCACACCCAAGATTTTGCATTGATGTCCTGCAACAAGGTCACCTTTAACTATTGCACAAATACCATCCTTGATTGTCCACGTTAACCTGTCCAGTTTTAGCTTCCTATTCTTCTGGAATGTCAAATATCCCTCAGTACCCATGCTATGATCAATTTGCACACGCACCCTGCTGTTTCCCCTCCTTCCCAAACAGGCTGAGAGAACCTTAAACCTGTTGAATAATTGCAGAGTCTGACACTCTATCACTGGGCCCCCTTCCACACACAATCATAATATCCTTTCCCTGAACACTGACAAAATAAGATGACCCCATCCTAAGAAATGTGAATGCTTCCTGTTACAGACAATTCAGATAACTTCCTCCTTCTCTGATGTGTTACAGTGGCTGTAGTTTGGCCTCCAGCACATAAACTCTGAACCAAAGCTGCTCAAGTTTCATTTGCTGCAGAAATGTCTTCCATGGATCACAACAGCAGCCAGGAGCTCCTGTATACTGCAGCCTTATCACCACCTGAAATGCCATCCTTAATTAGTTTAAATGATTTCATAGAGCAGTACAGCCCTTCGGTCCACGATGTTGTGCCGATGTGTTATCCTACTAAGATCAATCTACCCTGCATACCCTACATTTTACTATCCTCCATGTGCTTATCCAATGGTCGCTTAAAAGTTTCTTAACGTATCTGACTCCACTGTGACGGCAATGCATTCCACATGGCCACCGCTCCCTGTGTGAAGAACCTACCTCTGACACCTCCCCTATACCTTCGTCGAATCACCTTAAAATTATGCCCCCTTGTAATAGTCATTTCCGCCCTGGGAAAAAGGTCTCTGACTATCCACTCTATCTATGCCTCATCATCATGTCAACCTCTATCGAGTCACCTCTCATCCTTCTTCTCTCCAATGAAAAAAACCCTAGCTCCCTCAACCTTTCCTCATAAGACCTGCCCTCCAGTCCAGGCAGCATCCTGGTAAATCTCCTCTGCACCCTCTCTAAAACTTCCACATCTTTCCTATAATGAGGTGACCAGAACTGAACTCAATATTCCAAGTGTGGTCTTACTGGAGTTTTATAGAGCTGCAGCATAACCACACAGCTCTTAAACTCAATTCCCCTGCCAATGAAAGCCAACACACCATACGCCTTGTTTACAACCCTATCAACTTGGGTAGCAACTTTGAGGGATCTATGGACGTGGACCCCAAGATACCTCTGTTCCTCCACACTGCTGAGAATCCTGCCATTAACTCTTTACTCTGCATTCAAATTTGACCTTCCAAAATGAATCATGTCACACTTCTTTGGGTTGAATTCCATCTGCCACTTATTTGCCCAGCTCTGCATCCTGTCAATGTCCCGTTACAACCTACAACAGCCCTCCACGCTGTCCATAACTCCTCCAACCTTCGTGTCATCGGCAAACTTACTAACCCACCCTTCCACTTCCTCATCCAAGTCATTTATAAAGATCGCAAAGAGCAGAGGTCCCAGAACAGATCCCTGCGGAACACCACTGGTCACCGAGCTCCAGGCTGAATACTTTCCATCTACTACCACCCTCTGTCTTCTATTGGATAGCCAGTTTTGTATCCAGACAGCCAAATTTCCCTGAATCCCATGCCTCCTTACTTTCTGAATGAGCCTACCATGTGGAACCTTATCAAATAACATAAGAACTAGGAGCAGGAGTAGGCCATCTGGCCCCTCGAGCCTGCCCCGCCATTTAATAAGATCATGGCTGATCTTTTTGAGACTCAGCTCCACTTACCCGCCCACTCACCATAACCCTTAATTCCTTTACGGTTCAAAAATTTATCTAGCCTTGCCTTAAAAACATTCAGTGAGGTAGCTTCAACCGCTTCACTGGGTAGGGAATTCCACAGATTCACAACCCTTTGGGTGAAGAAGTTCCTCCTGACCTCAGTCCTACATCTGCTTCCCTTTATTTTGAGGCGATGCCCTCTTGTCCTAGTTTCACCTGCTAGCGGAAACAACCTCCCTGCCTCCACTTTATCTATTCCCTTCATAATCTTATATGTTTCTATAAGATCTCCCCTCATTCTTCTGAATTCCAATGAGTATAATCCCAGTCTACTCAGTCTCTCCTCATAATCCAACCCTCTCAACTCTGGAATCAACCG